TTTATATATATTTTTATCTATATTCTAAAAGCACCAATTATTTAAGTTATATTGTCAAATATCTTAAATCTCATAATGGTTTATACTTAAGTACTGAAAAATTAAAACTCTACTTATATGCTTTAATAAAAATATCACAATTATGTTGCAAAATTACAGAGCAAGGCTTTATCAACTACTCATAGCCCAGATCATGAAATCAGAGAAGCTGAAACTTAACATGATTCTTTTTGTGTGACTAGTGATTTGTAAAACATATAATGCATATACTTGCAAAGCTCCAGGTTATATGCAATTAAATATATTAGAACTTTTGGTACTTTTCTACCACTTAATATTATCAAAACTGACATCTATTGTTTGAAGGCAAAAATGTCTAAGCTTCTGAAAAAGTGTAAAATGTGTGTGTCCATCTGATTAAACAACTTTTTTTCCAAACTGGTAGAAAAACTTTTTATGGAATAAATGTGTTTGTACAGTGGTGACTATTTGTCACAGTAGGCTCTGACATTGGCATTAAAGCACCAACTATTTTAGACAATATGTCATAACCAGCCAGTTGGAGAGCAGTAACAAAATACTTGGCTAACCATTCTATACTAGAGACATCTGTTTAGCTTATCAAGTTAGTAACACCAGACACTACTATAATTCAGATTATCTAAATATCACAATTCATTTAGTTCTTAAAAGATATAAACAACAGTAAAAAATCATTTTATACATCTTAGATGTTTTAAACATTTGTAGCATAAAATGTTTATTTAATATATTAAGTGACAGAGCCAAACTATAATATTATATTTATATTACATTATATTTATATTTACATTTTAAATCCTATAATACAAAATTTATATTTTATTTATATTATATCACCTAACATTTTTGTTCATATTGTAAGCAAAAAACATGCAGAGTTTGATTTAATGAAGCAACATGTTGATGGGTGGTTTTTTTCTTTTCTTCAATCAAAAGTTTAATAATAGAGTATTTGCTGTGCTAACACTGTCTATTAAATGCTTCATTGACATTTTTAATCTTTAAAACAACCTTATAAGTAATAGTATTTCCACTTTATGGGTTGGTTAATTGAGATTTAGAGAAGTAATATAACTTGGCTAAGGTCAACTATTAGCAAGTGGCAAAACTGAACCTAAAATTTGGATTTAACACCAAACCCTGCATTTGTAATCACTGTAAGTTTTGTAAATAAGAAGTTTACATTAAATGTTCTGCATTCTGCTCATAGTTCTTGTTTGTGAATGGCATCTATTCTGTTTTTCTGGGAAGGAGGGTGATTTGCCTGATATTCTCTCAGTTTTAGAGCACAGGGCGAGCCTCAGGGCACCCATCCTAAGCAAACCTGTGGCAGTTGGTAACCCACCAGGAAGTAACACTTACCCTGAAACATTCTACTGGTTCACACATTTTACTCTCAAAATTCATAAACCTGAGTGAAAAGTAGGGGAGTATGGGGAATTATGAAGAGGACTTCATTTCTTAAGCACCAAGGACTGTATCTCAGGTAGAAGAGCATTCACTGTCTCCTTCCCTGGAAATTATGTCTAGAAACTTAGAAATGAGCGGTAGCCTCTTTAAGTAGCATTTTGCAGCAATACCATCAACTACCGGTAAATACAGGTTTTTGTGGCAGTCACATTCTACTCTTGATTGGGAGGGAATTAGGGGTGAGAGCAAAATATGTATTTCATGGAAGCTCTGAAGAGCAGCCTGCTGGTTCCTCCGTGAAACTAGTGATTTATATCATCGCCTAATTTCTTCGGAACTGTTTTTAAAGGGCTGCTCCACGGCATCCTCATTTCTCCGTATCACTTCTCATGGCCACCATCTGGAGATTGCAAAATCCATGAGATTCTGGCTTTAAAATCTTTCCTTTTCCTCTGCTTGGTTAGTGCTCCTCCCCCAGCTCCTCTGAAGTAACTGGCATGCTCTGTAGGTCTAAGTGCAAACCTATTTTTACCACAGTGTTTGGGAATCTCTGGGCACAAACTCTCTGCCCATTAGGTAAGTTACAGGTGCACAGGTTCTTGTTACTCATTTAGCTACCACCAGTTCAAAGCATTAATCTGACTCTTCTGAATTTTCCCTTTCAGGCAGCGGGGCTGCCTTCACCTGCTGTTGAAACACTCACTGCCTTCCTAGTTGATCCTTTCTCTATCAGCATAGTGGACTAGGTTCTTCTCATTTTCTTTTTCTCCTCTCCCAAGCCCCTTCTTTATTCTACCCTTTTCTCCTCTATTTTTTTTCAATATTGGAATGTTATGTGGGTCTAAGTGCAAACCTATTTTTACCACAGTATTTGGAAATCTCTGGGCACAAACTGTCTGCAGATTAGGTAAATTGCAGTATCATCATTTTCCTGTCTGTCCCCCAGTCCTACTTTCTCAGCTATAACTGAAACTGCTTTCATTGAACACAACTATGCAACAATATAGTCATATCCCTTAGACTTAACCCACAAAAATATCTTCGCCAGTTGATATAACAAGCCCTCATCCATGTCCATTTACTCCTTGAGCTTCCTCTTACAGTCATCTTCTCAATCTCCAGGTTTGCTATGAAGCTTCAACTTTGCTCCCTAGAAATACCAACCCAACATCTCAGCAACTTCTCTCTCCAGTCATTCTTTCCCAAGCTCCCCATTCATGACAAACTCTTCATGGTTCTAGACTTATGTAGAACCAAATTCCTTTCTATTCCCAGCTCAGTTATTTCATTGTATGATTTTTAAATTAATGTCTGTCCTCCATGAAAATATGTTAAGGGTAAAATATGTGAAACACTATGATTTAAGGTCATTAGTTTCAATATTTCCATTTCCATTATATAACATTAACAAATAAATCCCTAACTTTATTTTAAACATCAGTGTCAGTGGGAATTTGACGTGTTAGAATTGATTAAACTCTCACAGGCCCAAATGATTAAAATCTAGGCCATTCATCCCCAGTTCCAGGACTATTTCTCTTCCACACACTGTTTTTATATTGTTGTCAATTTCACCTTCCCTTCTACATTCAAACTCCACAAGAAAAGTGATCATTTTTTACTTTTTACCCATAGTATCCAGGACACTGTCTGGGACCCCAAAAATGTTGAATAAATGAATTTCAGTTATTATTATCTTAGTAATCTTTGCAACTATGCTATGTGATTATATTGGTTAAACACTCCATTTTAAGTTATTTTTACATTGTAAAATGCCGCATAAAAGTGTGGTTAACAGCACAGGATAACTTCCATAATGGGTGTTTGTCCTGCGTTGGTGGAGTTTCCAATCTGCAGCCTTAACTGCTGACATTACTGCAACCACGGCACTGGCGGAAATAGGAGAAACTGTCACAAAATACAGATCTTATTATTGTTTTTCTTACCTATGCTCTCTGCTTTTCCAAAAAAAATGATTCATTCTCAAATTTGATAAGGAATTATTCGGCTGAACAACAACAAAAACAGCCCCAAATGTCAACCTAACACCTATGGCTCAAAATAAAGAGACTGAAGAATTATCTTTTGAATAAGCGACTTGGCTGGAAAATGTAGCTAGTTCCTACATTGTCTGACCATTGATTCCTGGCATTGTCTTCACTCTATTCATTTTTAAAAAAATGAAGTCATATTGAACATAGCCTATAATTATCACTGCTTGGTTTCTATCTGGTTTTTCAGGCACTGACTATACAGGCCCGAACCAAAGATGATTCTCATTTCAAAGGCCACTTACAGGTGGCGTGGGTCCTTCCGGAACTCTAAGGAGAAAAAGAAAGGAAAGGAAAGGAACAAAGAGGAAAGAAAAAAAGAGGAAGGAAAGAATACAGTAACAAATGAAAAAAAAATAGCAAAAGAACAGAAGCGGCTCTGCAATAGAGCATTCGTAAGAAATGGTCTGAGCCCAAGCATAGCCTTGTGCACTAATGCTTATCAAGCAGTTAATATAGGCTACAGGCTTCACATGCCTATCATGTGATCAAACCCTCACCAGAATTCTGTTAAGCAACTGCAATTATCTTGAAGAAATTGAGATCTAACGCTTACCTAGGCACACATAAATAGAAATGAACTAAGCCAGGACTTCAAGGGAGTCCTTCGAATCTAGGGCCTCTTCAATTCATATCGTACTGCCTTCCAGCCACCATACTTGTGTGCATTGGACCATAGGGAAGCAGTAATCAAAGTTCTATTGCTTTGCTTGTGCTTCAGCATCTGCCTTGCCCATCTGACTCCTAGGAAACAACTGATTTGGAGTCAATGGACATCGAGCACACCAATGCAAAAGCTGTGTAGAACAGGAGCCATAACAGAGGCACCTTAGAGTGGGGGCCACAATGAGTCTTGAAACATCGTCTAGTTTTAGTGAAAGTCTCGTTTCCACGAAAAACTGTCTTTAAACAGTTTATTACATCTACTGCATTCACATCCTCTGCTCCACCCCTTACCTCATAGGTACTGCTGTGCCACCATAGAGGGTCAGATTTTAGTTGCCACCCCTCAAAAAAAAAAAAAAAAAAAAAAAAAGGATAGCAAAGGAAGGAATCTGAGCACCTTCCAACCCCCCCTCCAGCTCCCAAAAAACGATCTGACTGCCTTATTAAAAGAGAAGAAAGAGATTTACCTGCTGCTACTGAGGCTGCAGCCTGAAAGTCATGCAAACCCTTTGAAGGACTGTAATGGTTTTAACCACAGGAATAGCATCTTTTTGACAGACAGGAGAGAAAAGAACTGAACCACTCTGCAAATACTAACCAGGCTATTTTGGAGCAATGGCCATTGCCTTTGAAATCTTTCATCATGGAACTATACTTAGAATTCAGATGAGCCTGGGGGAGGGGAAAGGGGCAGTGTTAATCCCCAGTTGTTTTGAAGTTGTACTGTAAGCAGGTTAGCATTTGAACTGCCCTCCAAATGGAAGCACTGGACTCTGTGTTTAAATGGTAGTTTTTCTCTCCGTGAATTTTGTTTCAACCTGTTCTGCATATAGATCGTCACATCAGGCTGGGGGTGACACTTCTCAGTTTTCTTTTCAAACTAGATGTTCTCAGGAGCACTGGCGGTGACCACATTGGGAGACTGATGCTCCATGACAGCTAAAAGTTGGATTGAGTTTCAGGAGCTACTATATATAAAGCTGGGGTGACTTATGTCACCGCACTAATTAAATGCCATCTGGGTGGTTCCTCTGGGTTTTTGAGCCCATCACCCGGTTCAGACTGAGTCAGAGGCCAAGGAGGCGAACATGATGATGGACCTTTTCGAAACTGGCTCCTATTTCTTTTACTTGGACGGGGAAAACGTTACCCTGCAGCCATTAGAAGTGGCAGAGGGCTCTCCTCTGTATCCAGGGAGCGATGGTACCCTATCCCCCTGCCAGGACCAAATGCCCCCGGAAGCTGGGAGCGACAGCAGCGGAGAGGAACACGTCCTGGCGCCCCCAGGCCTGCAGCCTCCCCACTGTCCCGGCCAGTGCCTCATCTGGGCTTGTAAGACCTGCAAGAGAAAATCTGCCCCCACCGACCGGCGGAAAGCCGCCACCCTGCGCGAGAGGAGGCGACTGAAGAAAATCAACGAGGCCTTCGAGGCTCTGAAGAGGAGGACCGTGGCCAACCCCAACCAGAGGCTGCCCAAGGTGGAGATCCTGCGGAGCGCCATCAGCTACATTGAGCGGCTGCAGGACCTGCTGCACCGGCTGGACCAGCAAGAGAAAATGCAGGAGCTGGGGGTGGACCCCTTCAACTACAGACCCAAACAGGAGAATGTAAGGCCAGATGCAGCCCAAGCAGGGGAATGACATCCAGAGTCTGATTAGATGCTTTCTTTCCCCTGGGGCTTTACCATCCAGCTGCTTGGTCTCTTTCCCGGCCCCTTCCCCGCCCGCCCCTCCAGCCCCCTCTCTAATGAACCCCTGGTGACCCCTGGATGCGGGGTGCCCGACACAGGCAGGAAATGCGCACCAGGCCAGGCTCGAGGAAGCTGGGGAGACGTCCCCACAAAGCCACCCCCATCCCCCAAACCGGTGTTTATTTTCTAATCTGCCGCCTTGGTTTTTCCCCAGCTCGAGGGTGCGGATTTCCTGCGCACCTGCAGCTCCCAGTGGCCCAGCGTTTCGGATCATTCCAGGGGGCTGGTGATCACTGCCAAGGAAGGTAAGGAAAAGCGGGGAGCTGGCTGCGCTGAGCTGGGGGACACCCCGGGAGGGGAGGGGCTGGCTGCTCGCGCCGGGCGGACCGGGCTCAGGGCCACCGTGGGGACGCGCCCGCGGAGAGGCGAGCTTTTCCTGCACGGGGACCCTGTGCTCCCTGAGTTGCCTGAGGCCTGGAGCTGCTATGCCTGTGTGTTTTCTATGCTCAGGAGGGGCAAGCATTGATTCCTCAGCCTCGAGCAGCCTTCGGTGCCTTTCCTCCATCGTGGACAGCATCTCCTCAGAGGAGCGCAAACTCCCCTGCTCGGAGGAGGTGGTGGAGAAGTAACGTGGAGCCCGCGTTTGGAATGCTCACCGGGGCAGGAAGATCATCCCACCCTCTCTCTTTTGACGGACCCTTTGGGTTCCTTCCCATGACATCCGTGGGCAGGGGCCCAGACTGCAGAAGTTGAAGAAAGGGAATGAGGCACAAAGAAACTTCTCTGGCACTGTCGTGGGCGCTCCTCAGGTGCCTTTGGCTTTGCGCTTTAATTGTTTGGAGCGGCGAGTGGCTTAGGTCTAGCAGCCTTCCTCGGCTTACTGTTTGGTTGGTTTTATAATATATTTACTTTGATGGCGGTGATTCTTTTTGTGCCATGACCCGAAGAAGTTCATTCCTGTCTGAAAACAAAGTGGGAACGCTGCATCTAAATGTTAGGGGTATCGAATGTATATTTTGTAAATAATCTTAGTACTTTCATTTTATATGTAAACAAACCTAAGAAATATATATTGTAAAGTAACAGACATATTGTATATACAATGTGAGAGGATCCTGGTATTGTAATATTAAAAAAAAAAGAGTTTCTGTATGAATAAAGTTGGTCCTATTTTGATTCAGCAGGGGAAAAATATATGCTTGAGGAAGATAGAGAGCCCTATGCTAATTTAGACATCACACCAGCCCATTTATCTGGGTGATTTCTTAAAGGCTGACTTAAAGGGAGGAAAATGGGTTGTTTTTCTATGTCTGAACTAAACTGTTTCCTTTCCTATACATGAGGAATATCCAGGAGGAAATTATCTTTTTTATTATTAATATATATATATATATATATATATATATATATATATATATATTTCTGTATCAGCATACTTTCTCTTTCTTTTTCTGTCCTGTACCTGGAGCTCTAGGTAAGATTTGCTTACCCAAAGTTAACAACTGACTTTTCAGTCCAGTGAAATCTCATTGTTGCAAGAAATTACGACATAAAAACATTTTGCTTATTTTTCTAAAAGATCTTCAGCTAATTTAGACCAAATGACTTTCCCTCTTTGACTTTCTCCAGCCCCGGCCCTTGAATAAAAAGCATTGACCCGGAGTCCCCCAGAGGCTGCACTGCCAGGCCTCAGGGGCCCTCCCCAATTTTCCTCAACTAGTTGGTGGCAAGAAGGCTGGACTACCCTCAAGGCCTTGTGCGGCCTGGGTTAGTTTTCCAACAGAAAGAGAAAAGGAGACAGTCTGTTGAGGTGGGGTGGGTTTTGTAGAGGAAGAGAGGGAAGGGTTAAATGCTGAGGGCAAAGGACAACAACAACACACATGAAACCTCTTAGCTGGGCCAAACAGCAAAGCCCCAGAGAGGCTCGCATCCCCAGGAGCTCCTCAGGGTGAGGATTTTACAACGTGTGCCAGGTTTGTTTACCCTGTAACCTCAGGAAGGAGCGACCACCAAGAATCGCAGTGGGAAGTAAAGCAGAGGAGAGGGGTGAGCTATTTCTTTGGAATCACGACTTTTCTCCTGCATTCTGTAAATGGCAGCTTCCAGTGGACTCCCCTTCCCCACTCCTCTTTTCCCTCTCTATCCTAACAGCTAGTCAGTCCTCAGTTCGAAAATGTGAAAATCAAGTTGAATTCAGTACTTCCCAACCCAACCTTGCTTCCTAACACGCCATGTTGGACCTTCCTGCTGCACAACACAGTTTCAGACACCGCTACGGGCAGCGCCCCCTTCAGGCCTTGAGCAGGAATTGCCCATTTTCCACCTCAAAAGGAGCACTGAGGGTAACAGTCACTTTTGTTTTCTGAGCCTCTACTTTCTCCTAGAATGCTTTTAAAATGTGGAAAGTTTCACAGTGGAAACCGACATTAATGTGTAATCCCTCCCAAAGGTTTAAGAAGAGCAGGCAGGAGTGTTAGTGGGTGTAAGCGGCCTTGGCCTCTGTGGGTGCTGACAAACTTGACTGAATCCAGGCTGCTACTGGATAGCCTTGGGCTGTAATTGCTGCTCTCTGTGTCCATTTCTTCATGTGTAAAATAATGGGGACAATAACAGTACTCAACTCATGGAGTTGTCAGGATTTACTGATAGCGCACGTAAGTTGCTTAGGGGAAAAAAAACACACAAAAAAACGAGTGCACAGTAAAAACACTCAATGCCAACTCCCTTTGATTTTCATTTGTAAATATAAATTGATCATCAGGAGGCATTTCTTCCATCAAAAGCCACCCTTCGGATCCAGCCTTTGTAGGGGAAAGTGTCAATAACAATGAGACCAAGAGCAACATGAATGAGCCATTTGTAGCGTTTTACATTTCAGCTCATATCATCTTACAACAAGCTGCAAGACAAGTACGATTGTCACATCTAGTTTAGAGAAAAGGACTCTTTGGGACAGAGCGGTTCTTGTAAATAGAGAACCAGGACTCAGAGCCAGCTGCTATCAAAGGCTTGTTCTCCCAATCACCATGCACCCCAAAAAAGAAGCCTTGAGAAATAAGAAGGAACGCTTATTGTCTGTAGAATAAGTAGGCTCTCTTTAGCAATTATTCACCAAAACTTTGTCTTAAGAAAGATTATCTAGTAAACTCTACCTTAGAGTAATAATTTAATTTAAAAAGAAGTGGGAAAGCATTTCAAACGATCCAATCAGGACATGTGTGACTATGTCTGGGTGGTGTGTAGAACCATTGATCATCTTTGTTAGGTATCCATTATTTTTTCCTGAGGATCAATAAGATTTTTCCCTGAAATGTTTTTAAAAAAATCAAGTTCATGCCATTGTGAAGTCAAATATTATAATTGACCAAGTGGACTAATTTATGATTGCACACATATTTATAAAATTTGCATTTTAAACTGCTCAGTAGCAGAATGCTTTTTTCAGTTCATAGACTTTACTTGCTGATAGATGTGATTCAGTCTTTGCAAACCAAATCCTCTCTATCTCTCCTCGTTGGGTAATTTGAGAAATTGTTTAGGGTAAGTTTGCCCATAGAAGTCTCTTCGTTAAATAGAGCAAATATTTCCCAAAGGCTTCTTGTGACCTCCATTGCTATATAGTTAACATGTTAGGCTTTCCAATGAAATCCTTGGTGTGTTTGCAATTAAAGTGTTTTTATTGGCCACTAATGATGACAATCTTCATTAAGGCCAAAGCCAAAACAAATAGAGCCAGGGAAGCAAAAAAATCAAGATGTAATAACTTGGTAAAGATAAGTAATTGGGAATTAAACTGAGCCTCTTCTCAGAGACAGGCATAAAATTATCAAGTATGAAATAATGAGTGATTTTCTGTTTTATATTACTACAGAAATAATTTGTAAAATATGAACTGTCAGCTTTCTCTATCTTTAATTATCAGACCTGAATCATTGACTTCAAAGCCTGAAGGTCATAGAAATCCACTTGTCTAATATAATCTTTTTTCTTCTCTTCTTTTTTTTTTTTTTTTTTTTTTTTTTTTTTTTTACTTTTTCACGTTTGGGCCACTGTGGGAGTTGGTGCTGAAATTCAGTGTTCCCAACTACTCTTGTGACTGCCAGAGAAGTCTTGAGTTGCTAAAGTAATTTTTAACCTAAAAGTATTTTTTATTTAAAGTTACAACGTATTTATTTGTACTTTCTCTAAGTAATATTTTATCCCATTTACTTATCTCGAAATCACCCTCCCAGAAAATCATAGCTAAAATATTTTAAAAGTTTTAATTTGAACTTTGAATATATCATTTCCTGATTTAATGCATCAGTAAATTAGCAATAACACGGTTTTTCCTCAAAGAGCCAGCCCATCAAGACATTCATCCAACAGACCCCTGAGTGATTTTCTTAAACTCAAAAGAAGTGTTAGAAAAGATGACCCTTGGTCCTAGAAGTTTTATTCTGAAAAAAAAAAAAAAGCAGTTTTGTAAGCCTTGGTCAGAGTCAGCTGATGAGATGGAATGGCTATCCTTGTTGTTGGAACCAAGATAATGTTGCCAGAACTGGCTACTTTCTCTACTCTCAAGGCTGCTGAAAGTCCTTACTTAGGCCTTTGATCTCTCCTGGGAGCCTTCGAATTCAAGCAGAGGCCAATGTCTTCCTCAGCTGTCTTCTCCACAAACTTTTCCAGCAGCTTTGGCAGGTACTAATGTGTTTACTTAGGTGTTCCTGGTTCCCAGAGCGAAGAGCAGTTTGAAATTGTTTAGCACATTGTAAACTCATATATAATAAGCAAAAATTTCTGGAACAACTCCTTTTGTCCAAGAGTTGATCATTGTCTCAAGTAGAGGCAGAAGTGGATTGAAATGGATGTATGTCTCTGGGTATGTCTTCTCCAGCTAAGAGAAGTATGTAGCATTCCTAAGGGAGGCAAATTTTACTAGTAAAGGAAGCTCTGGGCATCATTTTGCTGGTGTTGTATGTCCATCAACACTAAGATTGTTGCCGTAATGCTTCAACCAAAATAGGTTACCTTAAAACACACACACACACACACACACACCCCAAAAACAAAACAAAACAGGTTGATTATTACTTAAAGGTCTATGCAATTAAAACCTTTAAGTCTAACTTGTAAGAAAATCAAACGTGATTATTTTCATGAAGAACATAAAATGTAAAAATTAAGTCATCTCTTTACTTCACCAGGACCCTGGTGGGCTTTCATTTATAACCCGTTGTCTGCCTTTTCTGAGGCTTCCCTAGCTATGCTGGCATATCCATCCTAACAACCTGATTGCTTAATTAAATACATGCGCGTTTTCTCCACTTGTCAGAGGTCCACTTCTCTGGAGAAATGGTGGAAAATAGTTCGTATTTTTATTATTTTCTATGAGGAACAAAAGCCAGAATCTAATGTGACTTTGACTAAAAGAGAATACCCGAATACCCAGCAGAGATTTTTAAGTGATTTTTAACTTTTTCATATTTCTCTGTTCAACTTCTCCACTCAGAAGATTTTTTTTTTCCTCTGGATTGCTCACCCAGCTTCCCATTTTCCTCTCACAGGTTTTCCCCTAGGAAAAAAGCAGTGGGGCCTCTCCTGAATTTGGGAGCCCTAGGCATCTTGGAGGTGCTGGCTTCCTTTGTATACTGCCTCCTGTTTTTTGTTTTTTGTGTGTTTTTTTCTTTCTTTTTTTTTTTTCTTTTTCCTCTGGCCCCTGACAGAGTTAAAAGTTCTCTTCTCTTCTCTTCTCTCTCTCTCTCTCTCTCTCTCTCTCTCTCTCTCTCTCTCTCTCTCTCTCTCTCTCTCTCTCTCTCTCTCTCCCCCTCCCCCCGCCCCCCCTTTGGCGCTCTGAGATCCTATTTTCAGCACTTGAATCCCAAGAGTCCTTAAACCAGGACCCTGTCACCCGCCTAGCAAGTCCCATTAAGCCACCAGACTCGTGTTTTCTTGGACTCTTTAGTTCCACTCGCCAGCCGCACTCTGGTCAATGTCTTTTGAGATCACCTTACCCAAGACAGCACTAACTTCTGAGAACTACCGCTACTGACAGAGCCTTCCTTCGGGGCCACAGCTCCTCCTCGGACCGGACCGAGTGCAGGGAAAGAAGTTCCCGCTGCGAGTTTCTGCTGCGCAGCGCAAAGCAGGCGCGCTGTGCCTGAGTGGGGAGAAAAAGAAAACAAACACTTTTCACCTTTAGAAGCCCAAGTTAGACAAAGGGATGCCTCGTTGCCAATACTCTGTGGCCTGTGGCTAATTACTACCTCCAAGTTGAACTTTGGTTACCCTCTTTAAAAAGGGAATCTAAAAACAAGTACTTGCCGTGGTATCATTGGAAGAAGTAGATGGATGAACACATACATGGATAGGGTTGAGAACGTGCCTTGGCGAACAGAAAAGTCTTCATAATGGTTTGCTACAAATATCCCACGCGGAGGGGTTGGGACAAAGCCCATTAGGTGCCTTGAGGAAAGAAAACAGCTGGAAGGCTTGCAGGAGCCTAACGTCCATCTCCCACCTAAAAGTTAAGAGCACATTTGTTTTTGCCCGAATCATAAACCTGCATGATAACTCTGTGGAGCTGAGGCCAGGGTGCTAACATCTGAGCTCCATCGCCAAAGGAGGTGCTGGCATTGCTTCCGGCCAGAACCTGTGGGATCTGGCTTAGAATTCCTGGGTGAGAGTCTCTCCCCACTGCAGTATCTCAGAGGCAGCCACGTGCACAGAAGGGAATGCTTTTACCTGGGAGGATACAGCCTTCATTCCCCCTGAGTCCTTTAGGAAACGGACTGTTATCTGGTATGACCCTGCGTGCTGTATTCCTTTCAAAGGCATCCACTTGCTAACAGTCCTGAATAAGGTGCGGCCGGATTTCCCACAGGCCAGACAATTAAGCAGCCCATCGGTGGGTGGGAAAGGGAGCTGGGTGTTCACGGTGTGGGTGTGGTGGTAGCGGTGTCTTTGCCTTAGGGACCACAAAACCTGGGCGGGGAGACTGCTACGAGCGCCCCCGTAGCAAACCTTAGTGACTGACACCCTCCCACGCCTGGTTTCGCTGCCCTCGTTCTGGAAAGCAGATCTCACCCTGAGAAGTTAGCACTTCTCTGGCCCCTGCGGACATGGGATCAGCCAGTCAGGGTTGCTTTAGGAAAATGATTTTAGGAAAAGTAGCGGGAAGGAAAGCACCACACTACCCCAAGTACCTTCGGAGCCACAACACTTAACTGTACTGGATGACTGTCGATCCCGGGAGAGAACAATCCCTCCTGTTTTAACAGGGACTGCAAGCTCTGATCCCAAGCCCCGGCTCCTTAAGCCTGTTTGTGTAAACCCTAATCAATTGTTTTCCCTACCGATAAGCAGCACCCCGAGCCCTAGGGATCTGGACATGGGCTAAGGCCAGAGGAGGGTTGGCAAAAGCTGATGAATAGATTTATTCTTGCTTGAAGGACAGCCCTCCCCTCTCCCGAAGTTTCAAAGGCCCCCTTACGATGGCTTTGCTGGGAGGCTTTTATCCCCGGGAGTGTGTGAAGTTACTCAGGGTTTGAGCTGGAAATTGTACACGAGCTGAGAGGGATCGCTGTCCCGGCAGCTGGGATGCATCTGTAACGGTGTTCGTTTGCCTGAAAGCAGAAAATTAGCGACCCCAAAGCTCAGCTTGGCTGTTTAGTCTGTGGCAAGGACCGGGCGGGGCGGGAGGAGAGGGAGAAAGGGGCCGCGCCCCAGGAGAGGGGGTTCACCTTCTAAAACAGCGGCTCTTCTAATGCAAATCCAAGAGGCGCGGCTGTGAGGCCCGCAGGCCCGATCGGGGTCTGGGGAAGGCCTGGCGGTGGAGGCCCTGGGAAAACGCATGCGGAAAAAAAGAAAGGAAGGAAGACTTTCCCCACCGCCTGGCGCTGGAGCACGCCTCCTGTCAGAGGGCACACTCAGAGGACACAGAGCTCCCGTCTGTCCTCAGTCCGCACAGGACTTAGACATGACAGCCTGACCCAAAAGCAAAATGGATATTGCAAACCACCCAAACTTAGCCCACGCCTGAAAGTGTCCATTTACGTTCTTAGCAACTGTTATTCCGGGCCACTGACAAAAAAAGAAACCCCGAGATAACTAAAGTTCCTTAAAAAGAGGAAAAAACGCTTAACAATAAGGTGATTCCTTTCATCCAGGCTGTGGGCAGGCAGGTGGGCTTTTTGCATTTCTCACGTTGGTGCGAGCCATGGCCAAGGGTTGGGATCCCTTCCCTCCTTTTGTCTGCCACACTCTGGATGCGAATCCATCTAGGGAGTGCAAGTGAATGGGCTGGGGGGCCGCTCCCCCAATTCCCCCTCTGCCCGCCCTGCAGAAAGGCAGTAAAACCATTAGCGTCTGTCCGAGGGGCAGTAACAGCGCGCTGTCTCCAGAGGGTAGGCGGGGGTTTGCCCAGACGGCCCAGAGGCAGGGGTTGCGGTGGGATATGCTAATAGAGCCTGGCCGCTGGGGCCGGCCTCCCTCCCTCAAGAATATATAAAGAGCCCTAACCCCAGCCTGGCCAACCCGGGCCGCCAGGCGCCTGCCTTTGCTAATTACCAGAGCGACCGACCAGGGAGCTGCACCGGGTGTGCGGTGTGCGGGGCCCCAGCCTCCAGGTCCTCCTCATCCCTCCTCGCTGCTTACTGTGCAGGGGCACCGCCTGCGCGGCCCCTGGGGATGGACGTGATGGAAGGCTGCCAGTTCTCGCCTTCTGAGTATTTCTACGACGGCTCCTGCATCCCATCCCCCGAGGAGGGCGACTTCGGGGACGAGTTTGAGCCTCCCGTGGCCACCTTCGGGGCGCACAGAGCGGAGCTGCCGGGCTCTGACGAGGACGAGCACGTGCGAGCACCCTCGGGCCACCACCAGGCCGGCCACTGCCTCCTGTGGGCCTGCAAGGCGTGCAAGAGGAAGGCCACCACCATGGACCGGCGGAAGGCGGCCACCATGCGCGAGCGGAGGCGCCTCAAGAAGGTCAACCAGGCCTTCGAGACGCTCAAGAGGTGCACCACCACCAACCCCAACCAGAGGCTGCCCAAGGTGGAGATCCTCAGGAACGCCATCCGCTACATCGAGAGCCTGCAGGAGCTGCTGCGGGAGCAGGTGGAGAACTACTACGGCATGGGCATGCCGGGACAGAGCTGCTCCGAGCCCGCCAGCCCCACCTCCAACTGCTCCGACGGCATGGTAAGGACATCCCTGGTACCCACCTGGGCACACCCCTATCTTTCCCCAAACTCCTCATGTGTCATTTAAACCAGGTGTGGCAACTAGATGTTCAGGGACCATTTGGTTGGCAGGTAGGGGTGGGATGGCAGTGGCTGTAAGAGAAGAGAGATGCGGCGTTTGGAAAGATGCCAGGAAACAGCTGTTGAATGGGACTTGCCTTTGACCTCTCACCAGGTTCTAGCTCCTGTGCATTGCAGGAGAGAGAGTTGTCCCGTGACCTAGGTGGCCGTGAATGATCAATCGCATATTTCACCGTCACTCAGTTGATTTCCAAAGTTAGTATACCCTGTCGTATACTAACATCTATAGAGACGTCTCCTCCAAGCTCCCACGGCCCCCAATGTTTGTAACTTAATGAGGAGACGGAAAGAAACGGATGGGCTGCCGTCCCTGCTCTGCAGAGGCCTGGCTGGAAGGAGATGTTGACGCATTCCTTACAGAGGGCGTCTGCTCCAGCACTGCCAGGTTTTAATGTGTTTTTGCCCTGGGAAAGTGTTCTCTCCCCGAATTAGTGTGGCTTCCTTCTCCTCCAATCCATTTTGCATGGTTAACCCAATGCACATGGCTGCTGAATTCCACCCCCTCTCCCCTTCTCTGCTGCTTTTCTCCTCTCCAAGCGCAGAGATTGACCTCCGTGCCCTGCAGTTTGGCGGGGCTAACCCTCCCTAAATCAAGGCAATGACGGTGATTGACAGTGGTCACTTTAGGGAGCATGGTGGGCAAGCACTGCCTTCCTCTAGAGCAGAGAATCTTTTGCCAAGACCTGAAAACAAACTTCCTTTTTTGTCTTATGTTGCAGCCTGAATGTAACAGCCCCGTCTGGTCCAGAAAGAGCAGCAGTTTTGACCGCATCTACTGTCCTGATATACCAAATGGTAAGAATCGATGGCTTTGGAAGAGTTTAAAGACAAGTTCACCTTCCCAGTTAGAACCTGTCAAAGCAGTCCTTCCTTCCACATAGCATCCAGGAAGGGAATAGATTGATGGTTCTTTTGCAGAGTTATTGGCAGAGCAAAAGAGACACACACGCAAACACACACGCAAACACACACACACACACACACACACTTATACACACACACTTTTTAAAAATAAAAAATCCACCTAACAGATACAAACATGTGCACTTTTGCTTGCAATAGTATTAGATGGACTTTTCACTCCCTTCATTTACTGCAGATGAATTGCTAAGTATTTGTTGAAGATTTCTACATCAGGCTTTCTGAGACCAGCTGACCCCTTGGGGTCAAAAGAGCTAAATTATGGCTTAAAAGGGCAACAGCATAAGCAAGGCTATATATTTGGGAATTTCTTTTTAATGATTTTCTCTTTGTATCCATAGTGTATGCCACAGATAAAAGCTCCTTATCCAGCCTGGATTGCTTATCCAGCATAGTGGATCGGATCACCAACTCAGAGCAACCTGGATTGCCTCTGCAGCACCCGGCTTCTCTCTCCCCAATTGCCAGCACTGATTCACAGCCTGCAACCCCAGGGGCGTCTAGTTCAAGGCTAATCTATCATGTCCTATGAACTAAAAGTCTAGTTTCCATCAGTTCTGCCAGGAGGACCTACAGAAAGACAGATGCCCAAAGAGTCCAAAAGCAAGTCAACTCACATATAAAATATTTCCCTTCCGTTGTAAATTTGTACATATTATCTTGCCACTTTATAAGAAATGTATTTAACTAAAAAGTGACCATTGCCATTAATACTTCTTTCTTTTTTCATCCTTCCTCTCCCCCCACCCCCCTTCTCTTTTATTCTTATTCTTTGCTTTAGATACTTAGTTCCAATAATATTATTTCTGATAGGGAGCAATTTATTGAAGGTAGCTTATTGCAATGCTTAAATTATATTTCTTATTAATATCGCTTATCAAAATATTACCTTTGGTGTTTAGATCTTTATTTTTTTCTTCCAAACATTAGAACAGCTGGAAAAGTTAGTTATAGAAAAATTTAAACATATTTAACTTTTTTCTCTTTAATTTTTTGGTTATATTGTATTAAATAAAAATATAATAATACTGTCTAATGGTATATATTTTATCTTTTCTTATGAGAAATACATCTTTTTAATGTAAGCACAAAATAGTACTTTGTGGATAATTTCAAGATTCAAGACATTTTGAAAATTCCACCATAAATAAAATTGTTTAAATGAAGAAATATTTTGCTTCATTTTTTGAAAAAATACCCCTAATGGAATTAGCAGTCATTGACATAAAACCTTTAAGGTAGGACCGAAAATAACAAAGCAGTTGGTTTAGATGATAAACCTGAATATTTACCATCTCATGACTCAGTTTATGTCCTGTTGATGTCACAAATTTAAAAAAAGCATGTTTCCATTTTAATAATATTTCAAGGGAGCCTGCTAAATAAAATTGTCCCTTTAAATGTTGTACCATTAATGTAAGTTTGTCTGTGTGTGTGGAGGAAGATAGAAATTATTCAGGACAACAATATATGCTTAAAATAAACAAAAAATTACACTATTTTAATACCTATAGTATCATAAATTATGAGTTAGGTAATATTTACTTTATCTATTTGCCTGAAAAAAGTATCCACTTGATATATTAATGTGTTAATGTTTTCAATAAAATATTTGAAAGTATTGAGCTGATTTTTTTTGTATCATGAAAGTGCTGCTTTTAAGAAACCATACACAAACTATATAATAAAGTGAACCAAACTGCAGTTGAATTCCTTTTTTTCACAGCTTTTTTGATGTTATTAATCATTGTGTGTGTGTGTGTGTGTGTGTGTGTGTGTGTGTGTGATGGGCATAGATCTTTTATTAGTCATCACTTAAGATAAAAAAAAATAGAACAATTATGTGGAAAGTTAGGCTGAGATTATTATTGGGATAATTTTCACAAGTTTATCATTGAGAGAGAGAAACACGCAATATTGTTGAAGCATCTAAAGTAACTGTGCACAGAGAGCACTACAAATCATTGTTTCATCTTCTAACTTGGACATTTAAAGTTGCCAAGGGTTTACAGTTATATTTGTTAACCAAGCAAAGTGGCCAGACTCTGCTACAGCTCGCCAATCATACTCTTCTCAGGAAGGTTTTTCCCTTCTTTCTGATGTGATTTTTTTTTCCTTGAGCTTATCCAGTTATAAGATTCAAAAGAATAGAAATTATTCTATAAAGGGAGGGAGAGGAGAGGGGCTGAATACAAAAATAATGTAGCCACTGTCACACTGTTAGCATCTGCTCTAGTAGGGAATACTGACTTTTAGCACACAGGCAAATCTTTTTTGTCCGTGATTTGGGAGTGTGAGGAGAATTTAAGAGAAAATGATAGAGATTCACATGTAGTTGCAATATAAGTTTGAGTTATTCACTTTTTTTAGACACTGTGTTAGGTACATTTTTCTCCTTTCTACATTTCCATAGCAGAGGTGGGGAACCTTTTTTTTTTTTTTTTTTTTTTTTTTGCCAATGGTCACTTGGATATTTATAACATTCACAGGCCATACAAAATGATCAACTTAAGGTTTGACAACCTTATTTGGTCAAACATTTAATTAACTCACACCCGGTGCCTTGGCAGGAGCAGACCCAATGATTTCTTGGGCCTTAGGGCTCAGGGGCTGGATGTTCCTCACCTTTGTTCTATGGAGAGGTTGCAGTTTTGCTGTTGTTCTTAGTAGAATTAGAATAAAAAGAACTATCCAAAGACCGGCTTGTTTTTTTAAAGTTCAGATGTAAAACACATTATCATCCTGAGTTCTATTTAATAAAAGTGAGCAGAGAGTATTAGGTGACTTTTAATTCAAGTGAATAAAAATTAACTTTCTTACCAAACCCCAGCTACTTCTATAACTGGTAGATGTGTTTGCTATTCTCAGTGGATATTATCATGCCTAAAAATATTTAATTAGAGTTTTCCAGCAGTCTGGATTTAATACAGGTATGATCAATGCATCAACAAAGACAATATTCTCCCTGCCAGCTTGCTCAGTTCATCTCATTTTCGGTGCAGTAACATTGAAGGCTGGTGTCTACTGGCAATCAGCTCAGCACAGCATGTCATTTGCAGTCATGCACACTATTCTGACATGGGGACTTCAGAAACTGGTTCTCTGGTAGCCCAGACACAAAAGAAGCATTTCCTTCTCCAAGAAAGTAGGGGGTGGGGGAAGGAGTGATATTGGGAAAGTATTCAGGTAAGGACAGGATTTTGTCTCCCATAAATTCATGAAGTCTATAACTGGGTTGCCACTGGCCCCTTATCAGACCAACTCACCTCATCTGATGGAAAAATATAACCAACAGTCAAATTTCTAGGAGCAACTAGGTAAATGTTCTCTTTACTATCTATAAACCTGATGAGAAGGGGGTTCTTAGGAAATAAGAGTGGGAAAAGATTCCTTTCTCCTCGTGTCTGGAAATGCAAGCTCATTGGGTTACACAGGAAACTGTCCAGTGAGGTTATGGAAATGGCGAAGTACTATTTGGAAGCTAGTGGCTTTAGTTATAGTTAAGGTGTATTGAGTGCTCCTATTTTTTTTTTTTTCTCATTTGAAAGATGCAAGTCAGAATAAATTAATGGCTGTATTATATGCATAAGTTCTTTAAGGTGGCATTTTTACAAATATTTTATCTGGGAATGGTGTTCCTTGAAAATTTTTCTTTGGGTTATAACAATTACTAGATTAAAGTAGTAATTAAAAATATCTGCCTTTCAGAGATGGTATTTCTGGGAATGATGCTAGAGTAAAGCTATTTGTAACTTCAGAAAAGTCCTACTCAAAAGGCAAAGTACTTCCGAAATATCACCACTGAATGTTCCCACAGTGTTGCAAAAAAACAAAAACAACTCTAAACGTCAAACATATTGCCTTTAAGAATTCTAATTAGATATTTTAGTTGACTACTGATTTAATTGTTTAATAATATGGTACATTTGCTGAGCAGAGATCTAGGATTTAATCCAAAGTCTAAACTATGTTTAAAATTAATAATGTATTGTACTTTTTCATTTTACTTGCCACATCTTTAAAATGGGTTAAATGACAGCTTATAATAAGATTATAGTTACCACTAAAATTATTATATTGTATTAAAATATAAAAATTATCTTTTGTAAAGAAAAGTAAACCTTATTTCCACTTACGATAATTTATTTCATTCAAAACTAAGTGGGAAATAATGATAAAACAGCAACTAGCCATATTGAGTACTTATAATGCAAACTAGAGGTGGGGGGTGGGTATGGTCCCTCAGACCAGCCTGATCTCTCACACAATCTGGAACTGCTGGCTCCTAACTGCTCGCCTGCCTGCCTGCCTGATTGTTCCTAAATGCCTCTGCTTTAGCCCCTGCCACCAAGGCTTCATCTAGAATGATGACCAGAAGGACAATTGGAAGGTCATTTGGATGTCCCATCTACAATAATTAGCACATTACACTTTTATTATTATAGATAAGAACATTGAGGCTTAAGAGCTTAATAATTTGTCCAAGAGCACATTATTTGGGCTGGCTATTTGGGCTTATTCACAGCACATGTTCCAGGAGGCTCAGATATAAATTATCGATACAAAGCTTCTTATGAAGTAATATTGGAAGTCCCAGAATATTGCATCTGCATTATTCTTCTGGTCAAGCAAATAACTAAAGCCAATCCAGAATCACTGAGAAGCACATTAAACTTCACTTTTCAATGGGAGAAATAGTAATTAATTTGTAGCCACATCTAATCTATCACAATAGCTAGTATATCTGTGCTGTCTCTATTTCCTTATCTTTCACATGTTCCACCCATTCACCAAATCTGGCTCTGCCTTTGTCACCATCCATGGTCAAGAAACCTTCAAATCCATGAACTGTTCCTGTGCTGGGCAAGTTTACATCTTCAGCCCAGATGCCTTCCTTGATCTTTAGACCTTTATGTCCAGCTGATCTTTAGACCTCAATGGCACCTCCAATTAAATGTGTTTTAAATTAAGTTAAACTCATGCAGTTCTGCCTGTCTCCCCTATCTTTTAACGTGGCTCCTTTTCAGTGTTGACTCTTCAGTGAATGATGTCACCAGTAATGTAAACATGAAACTTAGGACACACTTCTGATACTTCAATTTTCTTAACATCTTGTCTAATTCATTATAAAATTCTATGTATTTACTCTCCTAAATCTCTACTCTCAATATAAACAGTGGTTATCTCTATCCAGGAGTATCATAATATCCTCTTATCCTGGCCCCTTTTATTTTCTCTGGATCTCCCACTTCTGGAGACAACACCTAGTTTTCCTTTTCTCAGGCCATGTGATTCAGGTGGCATTGACTGTATTTCCTGGCTCCAGAAAAGAGCAAGTCAACAGGCCTGACCTTGAGTATGTCCTCTTCCTTGGCCATAATAGTTGTTTCATAGTCATGTGATCAAGTTGTTCCTTAAGTGATAGTCCCTGGTGATAATATGTGGTATTTTTTACTCTAGGTTGCCAGCTTGCATTTTATCTCTAAGAGAAGAGATTCTGCCTAAATATAAAGTCAACACAGTGGAAAGCTGAGCTGTAATGCAGAGAGTTGTATTTCTGAAAATGTAATTAAGTATCTGTATCCTAAAATGCCTGAATATCTGCTCTTGACCATGCTTTCCAATTTTAAAGTCAATAAATAATTTTTGTTCTTAATCCAGTGTAAGTGGGAACTTTGTTAATTGAAACTGAAGGAATCATGCCTAATACCACTCTGATCTTTTCTGCCTATTCTAGCCAGAGAAATCAACTCAAAATATTTATCTGATCATGTCAATGACCCACTTTCCTCTTATTTATTTCATATAAGTTAATGATAGACAAAACTTAATGTGACCTTTCAGTTTCTGCATGTCTATCTCTTATCTCTCTCTCTAGCATTATCTCTTTCTAGCGGTAATGTCAAGACCTTGCTCTCTTCTCTCTGAACAAGAAGGGACTTATTATCTGTCACCACATTCTCTCTTGCCAAAGGAGCTTTACAAATTCTCTCCATTTAGTCCTCTCCACCCTTTAATTCATCTAGTCAATTCCCAACCTCCTTTTAGATCTCAACTCAAGCATTAATTCTAAGGCAAATTTTCCTTGAACTCTTTCACAGGATCCAATCTTCTTATTCTATTATCTCAAAATACTGTATACCTCTTTTATGTTGTATATTTCATAATTGCAATTATTCAGTAATTCGTGTGATAATTAATATTTATTTTCTCTACCATGAAAAGCAAGGACCTATTCTTATTCAACCCTGTGTTTCCTGGACTATCATAGGATATTTTGTGTATGTATATGAAGGAATTCATATTGTCCAAGCATTTTTTATGAAAAGTACTCTCATTTTCCAAACTTTCTCCTTAGTAGACTTCCTTAGTACTATTTTCTACTTTTATACCAGTTCCCTATTTTCTGTTTTATGTCAATTTCTTGTACTGACATTTCTTATTCTGGCCAATCTTTGTATATTTGTTTCTTAGGGTTT